AAGTACCATCGTTTAACGTCTTTTGGTATGACGCGGCCGGGGATCGAACCCCGGACCTTCCGCTCTCCGGGCGGACTGAAAACAGTGGCGGAAACACTGCCACCATAAAGTCTATAACATAACTATAATACATATATGAGTGAGTGAGTGAGTGAGTATGGTTTTACGCCGCTTTTAGCAATATTCCAGCAATATCACGGCGGGGGACACCAGAAATGGGCTTCACACATTGTACCCATGTCGGGAATCGAACCCGGGTCTTCGGCGTGACGAGCGAACGCTTTAACCACTAGGCTACCCGACCGCCCCTATACATATATGAAATACACCACCATTGGACAACCATTTATTGTTTATTTTATGATTAGCCGCCTTCAAACAAGTGAGTATAGTTTATTAAGCCAATTATTAAGTTCAACATTGAAAATACAGTGCGTTTTCCTCCTCATTGATTCTCACGATATGGCTGATATATTGCCGATATGACGTCAAGTTTTAACTCAATCACCCTCATTTGTAAATTACTTAAATATATGGATGAAATAAGTCTCGCCTGATTCTGATCTACGGTGCTGATTACGGCATTCAGGGCATGTTGAATGGCTATGTTACTAATTCAAATATCCATCTGCTAATATCCGACCACGCACGCCAATGGAAATCAATCAGTCAATTAAAGAGTACCTCGAGGGTATGAAATAGAAATATTAATCGAACAAATACAACTAAAATCCCATTTGGTTTACCGCTGATACAATTAACCATAAATACAAACTGGTAAGTGATCTGATAAAGTGTTCAGGGCCATGTTGCAATCAAGGCAGACAACAGACTTTGTCCCTTTGTCAGCACAGTTTATACCGCTAGCAACACACACCTCTGCCAGGGTGCGAGTTGTGTGTCATGTGACGTTACTTGACAATGGTAACGCAGGCGTGGTCATACAGGTTTTAACAAATACAGGCACACCTTTAGATTAAAGGAGAGTAGTTTTATGGAAATACTATGTGCTATAATGTAAATTTCACGACCGTCAGGTGATGTCATGTCATTTTATGTGATGTTCACTTGACCGAAAAGTAGTTCAATTCTGTATTCCTCCCAGCGCTTGGCGATATGACCATTAGGATATATTGGGGACGACCTGAGTGAATTGTTTCCCAAACAGAGACCGTTTAATCACATGTGACCATGACGTGCCATGCTATTTGTGCTAGATGTAGTTATAGTTATACCTACAGTACCTACATATGTACCACCTGTACCTAGACATGTACTACTTGTACCCACATATGTACCACCTGCACCTACACATGTACCACTTGTATCTACATATGTACCACCTGTTCACACCCGTGTACCACCTTCACCTACACATGTACCACTTGTATCTACACATGTACCACCTGTACCTACACATATACCATCTTTACCTACACATGAACCACCTGTACGTACATATGAACCACTTGTATCTACATATGTACCACCTGTTCACACCCGTGTACCACATGTATCTACACATGTACCATTTGTACCCACACATGTACCACATACACCTACACATGTACCACTTGTACCCACATATGTACCACCTATACCTACACATGTACCACTTGTATCTACATATGTACCACCTGCACCTACACATGTACCACTTGTATCTACATATGTACCACCTGTTCACACACGTGTACCACCTTCACCTACACATGTACCACTTGTACCCACATATGTACCACCTATACCTACACATGTACCACTTGTATCTACATATGTACCACCTGCACCTACACATGTACCACTTGTATCTACATATGTACCACCTGTTCACACACGTGTACCACCTTCACCTACACATGTACCACTTGTATCTACATATGTACCACCTGTACCTACACATGTACCACTTGTACCTACACATGTACCACCTGTATCTACACATGTACCACCTGTACCTACACATGTACCACCTGTACCTACACATGTACCACCTGTACCTTCACATGTACCAGCTGTCCCCACACATGTACCACCTGCACCTACACATGTACCACCTGTACCTACACATGTACCACATGTATCTATACATGTACCTCCTGTACCTAGACATGTACCACCTGTACCTACACATGTACCACCTGTACCTACACATGTACCACGTGTATCGACATATGTACCACCTGTACCCACACATATTACCTTTCGCGACATGCAAAGTCGCCTTTTATGGCAAGCATGTGTTGCTGAAGACCTATTCTACCCGGATCTTCACGGTTCTGCTATTATTACAACCAACGGGACACGTGCTTGTTCTTAAAATGATACAGTGCGCGTGACTGTCACTTTGGTGTAGACGTAGATGAAACGTTTCCGACGACTGGGGAATCGATTTTCAAAATGACTTTAGTTTCACGTGCATTGTGATTGGCTCGTGTATTCGCACGCAAAATTGAGCGTTGGAGGACGAGACTTTCGCAGGTTAGGGACAGAGTCAAGTGGTTAAGAATGAACCTAATGCACACAATTAAAGTGATGAACAGTTGACATTTCAGCACCAAAGGAAGCAGTTTGTCTTTAGAACCTTTGTTGATGGCTTGTCACTTCAATGCCCTTTTCACATACAAACAAAAAATCGTTAAATGAAACAGTTAATGAAAATGTCAAAAATTAATGGATATTACTTTCTTACAATGATTGGGTCACAGTGGAGAACATACCCAAGGCATTGTGAAACTATTTCTATCCTTATCTAAATAGTGAAACGGTTGACGTGAAACGCCAGTTACGACATTGAGACAGGACTGTTTACCTTCATCGTGAATAGGTGCGCTTCAGCGTGCAACGCTATGGTTGGTCAGTTAAACTAGCTTGATAACACTGTTTGACTCTACACGAACACAATTATCATAAAAGGAATTCAATTAATTCCATGTTTATTTCAAATCCCTAGGTGTCACTCAAAGACTACTCACTCTCTCTCTCTCTCTCTCTCTCTCTCTCTCTCTCTCTCTCTCACACACACACACACACACACACACACACACACACACACACAAACACAAAGTACGCTCTTGTCAACTCCGGGGGCGGTCTGGTAGCCCAGTGGTTAAAGCGTTCGCTCGTCACGCCGAAGACCCGGGTTCGATTCCCGACATGGCCCAGGTACAATGTGTGAAGCCCAATTGCGTGGATAGATGCTCATGATATCATTCACTGGTTGGTCTGGTCCAGACTCGATTATTTACAGACCGCCGTCATATAGCTGGAATATTGCCGAGTGCGGCGTTAAACAACAAACAGACCAAAATTATTGTAACGGCTGAATGAGGCCAGAATAAGTCTCGTCGGCGTGATCAGCACCATTGTTCGACAACGACAGTGTGAACTATTTCTTTATAGTATTGTTATACACATCATATTAGTCGGAATGTGCACTGAAAAAGTGTGTTTAGGTATTAATTACATGCTAGACATATTTACTCGTAAACATGTTAGAAATGTGTTCAAATCCTAGACGGAATTTTGCACGTGTTTTATCTTAACGTGATTAGAACTTAAAAACGCGTGCTTTGACTGCAAACACTGAAGTTGTGTCCCGATTCAAACATCGCGAACAGATGGTGTCATCATTGATTTTCAGTCGTTCATATGGCAAATTTGATGATATATTTTCGGTGGATAATCTAGACTGGTTATTGTCTTGCATTGACAAATTACATGCTTGCATGTGAATCAAAATTTCTACCCGGATTGGCAAAATTAAAATCAGGGAATTTAGCCAAAAGGTTGAACTTGAGCTTCAGGTATATCGATAGTCTGATATCTTTAAATTATTGTCATACCGGTGAAGATCCGGGGTAGAAAAGGCCTTCAGCAATTTCTGCTTGCCGTAAAAGGCGACTATGCTTGTCGTAAGAGGCGACTGACTGGATCGGGTGGTCAGGCTCGCTGACTTGGTTGATGCATGTCATTGAATCACAATTGCGTGGATCGATGCTCATGACATCAATCACTGGATTGTCTGGTCAAGACTGGATTATTTACAGACCGCCGTCATATAGCATAATTATTGCTGAGTGCGGCGTAAAACAACAAACAAACAAAACTAGTGCCAGATTAGTTTTATCATGTACCAGGAATACTGGTTGATGCATGTCATCGTATCCAAATTGCGTGAATCGATGCTCATAATGTAAATCACTAAATTATCTTGTACATACACGATTATTTACAGATTGCCGTCACATAGCTGAAATATTGCTGAGTGCGGCGGTAATAACAAAAACCCAACTAGATCAATGTATAGATGAGAGTGACATCCCCGCAGGACAGAATGGATGACTTCAACTTCCCCTTAATGTCTAGTAATTTTCCGCCAGCTCCATTTGAGGTTCAATCAAACATGCTCTTTCTACGGCTTCTGCTCAAGAGTTGTTTGATCAGAGGTACAACGCTGAAGGCATCAGTGAAGCTTTCAAAACGTTTGATAGTGATTCATAGTGATTCCTAAACACATGCTTATGACATAGTTGAAATCGTTCGATGGTTCTAACAGCAGATATTCAGTATGATTACGTAAATGGGTTTCGTGCTTGTATTTACAGCTGAAACCGAACATAAATCAAGAAGCCCCACCTTCAGTTTTAATCTCGGTCAAGATTATATGTCTTAATTTTTGTGATGTTCTGTATATTCGCTTGCGTTTCATCAAAGATATGTACGTATCAGAGTTGGCATCCGCTCCTTCGGGCAGATCTTCAAATATTTGGCTAAGTTGTAGCAATCTATATAATTAACTCATACATTCCACATATAAAACAATACCACATACATGTGTAGGCATATGTATGAATACAACAAAATGAAATAAATACATCATAAATTTCAGACTTTCAAAATGGCTTGTACTACATTCACAAAGAACGTCTGTGCGTCACGCCTGTTCACTGGTATTGATTTCCAATAGATTTAAACATCTGGTAAACCCTTTTTTTCAGGATAGATCGGACGCGACTTTTCCTGGACTAAAACACTGGTGAGCAACAGCTGTGTGGGAGACGTTACCTGTACATTACGTCTACACGAGGACCACACTTTCCAACATGAGTTCAGGTAATTATATAATTCAATATGTTCTCAATATGTTTGAAATCTTAACATATCTAGAATTTATGTTTAGTCGAGTGACACTGGTCCGTTTCACGTGCTTATGTTCCCAACACATTGACGTTTCATTTCGTTTCTGGATATATGCAATACACCATCAGGTACAGGTTAACTATGGCGTTTACCTTTACCCGTTGCTTAGGTAGTGAGCATGTTGCTATTTGCGGATTTTCGGCATTTTTGTATTAATCGATTTCCATGGGAACAATTTGTAAGGGGATGGATTTCCCTTCCGGAGCACAACTCAAATACGGTCAATATCTTTCACCGAAATTGGCCGATATATCAGATCCTGGAGTGGTTCCTTGGTAGGGTAGGTGTCGTTTCCGAAGCACAACTTGAAAACCGTGAAAGACTTTTCATCCAAGTCTGGTACATGTATCAATCAAGGGCTTAAGTGGTGCCTTTTGCTTTTTAGGAAATTAAATTATTAAAAAGAATTTTCCTGTTTCCATGGCAGCAAGTTTGACTTGGACTCTGTTCATAGTGGTGTGTTTGTCCGATCCATACATGCATCTCTAAAACTAACAGGTACTGTGCACACTCAAAGACAGATGTTAGTGTCGTATCCGTAGCAGAACTAAAACTATTCAGTATTTTTCAGCCAAACTTGGTACATGTATAAATCAAGGGCTGAAGTGGTTCCTTTCGCTATTTAGTAAATTATAAAAGACGTTTATAAAGTTTGTTGTTTAGCGCCGCACATCGCAATATTCCGGCTATATGACGGCGGTCTGAAAATAATCGTGTCTGGACCAGACAATCCAGTGATTGACATCATGAGCATCGATCCATGCAATTTGGATACGATGACATGTATCAACAACGTCAGCGAGCCTGACAACCCGATCCCGTTAGTCGCCTCTTATGACAAGCATAGAAGCCTTTTACGGCGAGCATGGGTTGCTGAAGACCCATTCTAGCCCGGATCTTCACGGGTCGGGCAACAAGTTTGAATTTGACTCTGTTCATAGTCGTGTGTTTGTCTGGAACATACCTCTAAAACTAATAGGTAATCTTTCTTAGAACTGTGCCCGCACAAAGGCCAGGTTGTCAGCTGGTGCCTTTTGCTTTTAGGGATTTTTAGAATTGACATTTTTTTAATTTCGATGGCAACTTTGATTTTGACTCTCTTCAAAGTGGTGTGTACCTGACGTAGAAATACAAATTTCCGAATCCCAAATCCATTGTATTTATTTGAAAGATCAATAACTACTCATGTAATTGGACAGACAGGTTAGATACAAATTCTCTCCTCAAGTTGGACTTAATGAAGGCCAGAGGATTTGTTCTGTTAAAGTTGTTGGGGCCGGGGGTTTTGTCAAACAAGTTATCCCTATTAAACGCCGGGTCATGTTATTCCAGACTGTTTGTGGTTGCCATTCAACGTAATTTACACAATCTGACATGTTGCTTGTCAAGATGATGCGTAATGCTACCCAATACGGGGCATACCTTTACGGGGAGTCGTCATACCTCCATGCTTACCGTAACAGGAGACTATGCTTGTCGTATGAGGCGACTATCGGGATCGGGTGGTCAGGCTCGCTGACTTGGTTGACGTATGTCATCGATCCCAATTGCGTGGATGGATGCTCATGATGTTAATCACTAGATTGTCTGGTCCAGCCTCGATTATTTACAGACCGCCGTCATATAGCTGGAATATTGCTGAGTGCGGCGTTAAACAACAAACCAAAAATCCCCTTATGTGTGAGTGGCACTATGGCATCTGTTTTGGAAGATAGTCGGGACTTGTTATTCTCTAGTTTTGTTTTGAATCGGAATCATTGATTGATATCGAGCTGATCTGCGTTAAAAGACTTTCTCCCCATTGACCCACGGTGATGGTCGAACCCCGAACCTTCCGCTCTCCGGGCGAAGCTCTACCACTAGACCACGAAGGCAGGTTCCAAAGAGATATATAACAGACAAAACAAACGAGACAGATACTTGATTGAATTGTCAATTCTGACGTTCAAAGAGCTCTGTCTTTAGTCGTGACTTGAAAGATGACAGCGTAGGAGCTGATTTGAGTGGAAAAGAACTTCACACAGAAGCAGCAGCGTATTGAAACGACCGAGAACAAAAGGACTTGAGGTTGTAAGAAGGGATGTTGAGTAGGAGCTGGTCACTTGATCGAACTGCACGGACAGGTCTATAACTTGAGATCAGATCTTGGGAATAAAGGGGAGCTGTTCAAGGAATGCATTGCTATGTCAGAGTCAATACGTTCGTTTCCTGAGCCAGTGAAGAGAACGTGGACAGGGAGAAACAATGGAACGTATATTGCGTCATGTTCTCATGCGAGCTGCTCTGTAGTCTTTAGAGGGCGTGATTGAGTTATGATTTATAGTCACATAGCCATATCGTGACTAAAGAAATTTTTACAAAAGGAAAACATTAATTTAGACTATATAAAACATGTCATCAAAGGACAGTAAAAGTAGGCCTGTCACAGATGTAAAAGATGCAAATGTAAAACATTTATGTATTTTCAAAACATATTCATCAACATTTTTCAAACAATTCTATTTTCTTTAAGAAACCTATAATTAAATGAGAACCGATACTATAAATAAAATCCATGACAGATGATGACTTGAAATATTTATCCCTTGTGATGACAAATCAACACAGTCAAGCAGGACATGGTTGAACGTGGTTCTCTCACCAAGGCAGAGTTGCAATGACCTTGTTCTAAGCACAGTAGAGACCCGTGAAGATTCCGGGGTAGAATAGGTCTTCAGCAACCCATGCTTGCCGGAAAAGGTGACTATGCTTGTCGTAAAAGGCGACTAACGGGATCGGGTGGTCAGGCTCTCTGACTTAGTTGATGCATGTCATCGATCCCAATTGCGTGGATCGATGCTCATGATATTAATCACTGGATTGTCTGGTCCAGACTCGATTATTTACAGACCGCCGTCATATAGCTGGAATATTGCTCAGTGCGGCGTTAGAGAACAAACCAACCAACTAAAGTAATCGCCATTTTCTGTGCATATGTGCTTATCACTCTGTCGTCATTTGACTTCGAAGGTGAAAACCGATTTTCGCCATATATTGCAAGCTGTTTGTCGTATGGAATGTGTAACGTTATACAAAAGCACAAAAACCAAACATTTGAAACTATATCATAATGTCGTTTAGATATAAGGTAGAATTTTGTTCGCTCACAGTTTACGTAAAGCAGTGAAATTAAATGTTTTATAGCACAGTGCTGTAATCAGTTTAAAACTAAATGGGGCGATTTGCAGTTTTATTACGCATAAAAAGGACAAACATTATGAAGTCTGCTATTCAAACCAGTCTTTTATTTGCAATTAATTTTACACCCTCGATCATATATGAAACTTAACATTCTATATTTCTGCTTAATAGTCGAAGTTATGATACGTCTTTTACGTTAAAGTTTCAATTGTAGATTATCTGTAACAAATTTACAGCATACTAACCTACTTTCTGCAATGCAAACTTTTGAACTCCTGCATTAATGTCATCCATGTATGTGCATTACGAATTTACTTGTTACATCGATCGAATCGCACAAATTGTGCACAACGAATATACAGACTAGTTCAAATGCGGCACAGATGTCGAAGCACGGATTTATAGATTCTCATTATTTCATATTGTACTGCATGAAACGTACATGTACGTCCAGTGTATTTGTGCTGTATTTTTTTCCGTTTATTTGTTGATTTATTGTTACGTTGATGCTTTGTTAATTGTTTTTGGTTTATTTGTTGTTTAACGCCGCACTCAGCAATAACCCAACTATGTGACGGCGGCCTGTAAATAATCGAGTCTGGACCAGACAATCCAGTGATTGATATCATGAGCATCAATACGCAATTTTGATACAATGACATGCATCAACCAAGTCAGCGAGGCTGACCACCCAATCCCGTAAGTCGCCTTTTACGACAAGCATTTCGAATTTCATGACACCAATCACTGGATTGTCTTGTCCTACCTGGACTGTCTTGTCCAGACTCGATTATTTACAGACCGCCGTCATATAGCTGGAATATTGCTGAGGGCGGCGTTAAACAACAAAAACTATCTCACAGCAGTTTCAGTGCAAAAGAAAACGAATAGCATCGAAGGTGTTTACATGTGTATAACGTACAAATTTCATTCACAAACACTAAATACTTAAAAATAAAAAAAAAACAGTCAATGGTTATATAATTAGTATGTCTGTTCGTGTCAGTAATGCAACTTGACCACTCATCGTCATAACAATGAATGGCAGTGATCGTCAACATTTGAACCGAGAAGAAGCTCAGACTATTAGTTTGAAGACAAAGCTGAGATGTTACTGAAGTTTATGATGTTTTCATCAGGCAAAAACGCTTGAAACACGTTTTCATCATCATCACAATAATAATGATAATAATAATAATAATAATGATAATAATAATAATAATATGCATCGAATTTATGTGCAGTGTGTTGAGAAGATCAGCAATCCTGCGGAGTCGTCTGGCCTGAAAAGTGAAACAGAAGGCTTTCTGTTTGCTGCTCAGGACCAGTCACTTCCAACTCCGTCAATGTGTGCTTTTGCATCAATTGCGAATATGAAATATAGATTATGTAATGAGAATATCCAACACATTGTGAGTGGATGCCCAGCTTTGGCACAGACACAGTATCTTAAGCGACATGATGGGGTGGCTCGATCATTTTATAACCGTCTTCGCCATGCTTGTGGTTTTGACACAGATGTCCATCCATGGTACGACCCGGAATATGTAGAGGGCGTCATGGAAAATGATGAGTACAAAATGCTTTGAAATAGGCCCGTATACAGCCTCAGACATATCCAGGCCAACAAACCTGATATTGTCCTTTTTGATAAGTCCAATGAAGTCATTTACTAGTATATCATTTAATTGTCTGTCCCTTTTGACAGTAATGTGATTGACAAGATTCAGGAA